GGGTCGTAGGGAAGCTCCATGTTTAGCAGTTTGAGGAACCTCCAAACAGTTTTCCATAGTGGTTGTACTAGTTTGCATTCCCACCAGCGGTGCAGGAGAGTTCCTTTTTTGGAGACATTTTTGATCCTTATACCTGGGGGAGGGGCTTCTAGTGGGTAGAAGCCATGGAATGGGCTAGGCTAACACCCCACAGTGCACCAGGAGGCTGCACCCCAAACAGTTATCGCCATCTAAATGCCTGAGGGCCTTGGCTGAGGTCCCTGGCCAGCTGGTCTCAGCTGCTTACAAGGCGACCCGGAACGGCTGCAAGGTGTGCAGTTAGCCAGCCCCTTCCTGTAGCTGCTGAGATAAGGGGCGTCACAGCACTCTTCCGGAGTGGAGCCCCGGAAGTCCTACCCAGCGGGGGTACCCTGCTAGATCCCTGGGCGAGCGGGGCAGCGCTGCAGCCTGGCCCAGTCAGAGCCCCTGCCCGGTGGGGCCCCTGGTCACCGCGTGCCAGCCCAGTGCCTGCCTCTCACCCTCTCTGCCTGTGTGTCCGTGTCTCCCCAGGTAAAGATGAGCCTTCCAGCTACATTTGCACAACATGCAAGCAGCCCTTCAGCAGCGCCTGGTTCCTGCTGCAGCACGCGCAGAACACGCACGGCTTCCGCATCTACCTGGAGCCCGGCCCGGCCAGCAGCTCGCTCACGCCCCGGCTCACCATCCCGCCGCCGCTGGGGCCCGAGGCCGTGGCCCAGTCCCCGCTCATGAATTTCCTGGGCGACAGCAACCCCTTCAACCTGCTGCGCATGACGGGCCCCATCCTGCGGGACCACCCGGGCTTCGGGGAGGGCCGCCTGCCCGGCACGCCGCCGCTCTTCAGCCCGCCGCCGCGCCACCACCTGGACCCGCACCGCCTCAGTGCCGAGGAGATGGGGCTCGTCGCCCAGCACCCCAGTGCCTTCGACCGAGTCATGCGCCTGAACCCCATGGCCATTGACTCCCCCGCCATGGACTTCTCGCGGCGGCTCCGCGAGCTGGCGGGAAACAGCTCCACGCCGCCGCCCGTGTCGCCGGGCCGCGGCAACCCTATGCACCGGCTCCTGAACCCCTTCCAGCCCAGCCCCAAGTCCCCGTTCCTGAGCACGCCCCCGCTGCCGCCCATGCCCCCCGGGGGGACGCCGCCGCCGCAGCCGCCGGCCAAGAGCAAGTCGTGCGAGTTCTGCGGCAAGACCTTCAAGTTCCAGAGCAATCTGATCGTGCACCGGCGCAGCCACACGGGCGAGAAGCCCTACAAGTGCCAGCTGTGCGACCACGCGTGCTCGCAGGCGAGCAAGCTCAAGCGCCACATGAAGACGCACATGCACAAGGCCGGCTCGCTGGCCGGCCGCTCCGACGACGGGCTGTCGGCCGCCAGCTCCCCGGAGCCCGGCACCAGCGAGCTGGCCGGCGAGGGGCTGAAGGCGGCCGACGGCGACTTCCGCCACCACGAGAGCGACCCGTCGCTGGGCCACGAGCCCGAGGAGGAGGACGAGGAGGAGGAGGAGGAGGAGGAGGAGCTGCTGCTGGAGAACGAGAGCCGGCCCGAGTCGAGCTTCAGCATGGACTCGGAGCTGAGTCGCAACCGAG